TGGCTTAGATCATGTGGGTCACCGTCGAGCGCATCCTGGACGGAGCCCCCACGTCCATCGGCGCGATGTCGGGAGCAGTTGCAGGACTTGCAACTTGCCTTTGCAATCAGCATGGGCCCGCAGCATTCTGCGGGAGCTGAGCTCTTAGTGATTTAGTGCTGCACCGCAAAGGCGGTGAGAGCTGAGGTGAACATCACCCCGTGCGCCGGTTTCGTGGAGCCCCTGGGTGCCCTGGGTGTGGGCGCCATCGGAGCCATCGCTTGCGTGTTTGCCGCCCGCGGCCTGAAGAAGTTGAACCTGGTGGACGATTCCCTGGACTGCTTCAGCCTCCACGGGGTCGGTGGCTTCGCAGGTGCCATCCTGGGTGGTTTCTTCGACACGGAGGACTTGTTGAATCAGTTTACCTGAATTTGCAGGAGTGTGTGCTTCCATGATTTGTCGTATCTGTTCTTCTCTCGCATTGTCTTAACTTGATCTTCAGGATGGCCTGATCTACGGAGGCGATGGCCTGCTGCTGGCGAAGAACGTGGCCGGCGCCGCCTTTGGCGTGGTCTACTCCGCAGCCGTGACGGCGGTGATCTTCTTCATCATGCGCCTGGTCATGCGCATGCGGGTCCACGAGGAGCAGGAGCTGGAAGGCAGGGGGGGTCTGTGGCGTGTGAATGGAGCAAGTTTTTTTAGTCATAGGTAGCGCCATCAATCTCCGATTTGAATGTGTGTCTTATTGTCATCGATCAGCCAACGAAACAGTGTGTTTGCCAATGCCAGTTCTGCTAGGTCCCTTGAATCATTGAACAGGTTCACCTTCAGTAGTGGCTTTTCTTTCCCTTCGGTTGCGGTGCACAGATGAAATAGCATGCTTGCACCATGCTGCATGCTTGCCGTGTACATTCCTCTTGAGAAGAAAGAAAGCCCGAGCAGAGTGCTTAAGAGGTCTTAAGACCTCCCTAGCCTTAATCGCTACCCGTGACCTCCGCTTTATGAACTTTGATCCCAAAGCTTCACTGCAAATTTTGGAGGTGTGGATTTGCACTGCCACTCTGAGGTGCGGCAGGGCGCTACGGGGCCTTGAAAAAGGGTTTCGGGTTTTTAGGGTTTAGAGTTTAGTGTTTAGGGTTTGGGGTTCAAGTAGCTCCCAAATCCAAATACACGACTTCCGCCAGAAAACCCCTCAGATCTCTTAGGTGGCCTACGGCAAGACCGAGCACACGGGCAAGCGCTCAGCTGTGTTGACAGAGGGCCCTGCGCCGACGCTCCTGACCAGCACCCAGGGCTGCAATTTGGGTCAGGAGGGCGGCCCCGGATTTCTGTGAGTTTTCGAGGCCTAAACCCTAAACCCTGAAATCCTAAACCCTAAATCCTGAGCTTTAAACCTTAAATCCTGAACCCTAGACCCTAAATCCTGAACCCTAAACCCTGAATACTAAACCCTCAATAGTCTAGGGTTGGGGGCAACTGGTTGGGTCCTAGGGATGGGCTTGGAGGCTCCTCGCGTAAGAGACTGTAAGGGCTGAACAGCAGAAGCGCAAATGGGAAGCACTCGACTTGCTGCTTAGGGTTTAGGGTTCAGGGTTTGGGGTTTAAGGTTTAGGGCTTAGGCTTTAGGGTGAAGACTTGCAAAGTGTGGGCCTTTTTGCAGGGGAAGACTCACCGGGCCTGGTGTTGCATGGCAGTTTTTAAGCCGCGTCGGAGATGTTGGGATGCTTGAAATCAAAATCAGCTGTTTGGTATTGTCGCTTCAGGCACTGCCCCCAGCGCCGCGGAGAAGCCTGTGGAGGTCTGATGCCCAAAGCTGAAGCACAGCAATTCGGGTTTCCTCAGCCTAATTGGCCACAAGGCCGTGCTTTTCCAAGCGGTTTGGCGCAGTGCAGAGTACTGCGCCAGGCGCGCTACTTCTTCCCCAAGCACCTGGATGCCCCCCCAAGATGCGGAAGTCAGTTACCAGTATCGGCGAGCATTCCCTTCCAGGCGTTGAGGAAGCAGGGCTTTGCAATTTGCTGCATAGGACGGCAGGTTTTATGTGATCTCTGTGGCGAGGCCTGCAGAAATCTCATCCACTTCCCAACGGGAAGAGGACAGCGGACAGTGACGAGAGTGCACGCTGATGGCAGGTCGGCAAGACCCTTCCAGAAAAAGGAGCAACCTTGCATTTCAGTTTTGGGGGATGTAAACTTAGATATTATAGGGTTTAGGTTTTAGCGTTTAGGGTTTAGGGTTTATTTAGGGTTATTAAGCACCCAATCCCTACAATCCCCAAACCCAAGGCCCTAAACCTTGATCCCTAAGCCCTGAACCCGAATTCCTATAGAGCCTGCCGGTCATCAGCAAGGCTACTTTCAGCGAGTTTGTTGTGGTATGGGGACTACTACAGCAGGCCTTGCTGCAAAGCCTACAGAGCCAGGGTCAAGTAGATAGAATATGGAATTGCCCGAAATCGTAGTAAGATCATATCCTATATTCTATCTACTGAAGGGGGACTGTAGCCTTTCGCAGTGGAACAGCTTGACGTGAGCTACAGTCTAAACTCCTAGTATGTCCCTAAATAACCCCTATATAATCCCTTATCAACTCCCCCTTTTAAGGAGTTTAGGTTTTTTGCTCACATGGAATTTTGTGAATGTTTAGGCTAGTAATCCGGCATAGTTGATGATCGCAACACCCGAACCTCCCTGCAAAACTAGGGTGTAGGGTTTAGGGTATATTTGAGCGTTTCTCGAGATGATCCCTACGTATTTGAAGGGTCCCTTGGGCCCTGTTTTATCAAACCCGCGAACCCTAAACCTTAAATTCTAAACCCTGAACCCTAAACCCCGTGAAACCCTAATCATAAGCCCTCTGTGAATTACATAGGCATATGGGTATTGGTCTAAATTCCCTATAATACGGGGTCCTATATTTGGGTTCCCATTATAATACGGGGCCCTATAAAATTTTCCCCCATTTTGGGAACAGTATTTTAGGGAAACTTCCATATGTATACATCACCCCTGGAAAGACCCCTCATGTCTGGTTTCTCCTAAAAAGCGGGCCAAGGAGACTCCGCCCACTAAACCCGCGACCCGCAGCCCTAAACTTAAACCCTGCCGCATAAACGGTCTTAGGGTTTGGGGTTCAGGGAATCAAGTATTTTCTGTGACTACTTAAAGTATATGATTTGCAAACTCCTCAAGATCACGTGAAGAGAAAGTGCACAAGAAGAAGCTAGGACCTTGTGAGCATCCATTAAAGCTCTGAGGCAAGGATCCGCGAGCAAAAGCAAACACTCTTAGGGTTTCGGGTTCAGAATCCCAAACTTCATACACTTCATACACTGGGTAGGCTCCTGGGATTTTAGTATTTCCCTAATGGCTCCCATAGGGGACCCTATATATTAATATTTTTCAAAGGGTTTTAGGGGCCAACCCAGTACTGTTTCTGTAAACCCTAAACCCTAAACCCTAAACCCTGATCACCCTTTGGCTGAGGCCGGATGCAAAATCCACCTGCCTGGCCGCCACCCAAGGAAGAGGTGGGCAGCCGGGGTAAAGGATTTAGGATTTAGGGTTTAGGGTTTAGGGTTTAGGATTCAGGGTTTAGGGTTTAGGAGTGTAGGGGTTTAGGATTTAGGGTTTAGGGTTTAGGATTTAGGGTTCAGGGTTTAGGATTTAGGGTTTAGGGTTTAGGTTGGGTACTGCCCCCCGTTGACTAACAGTTGGATAATATCTATAATATGGTTATATATAGCCCTGAATAGGACCCCTAATATAGACTGTTACTGGGTGCGGGCAGTACCCAAGATTTAGGCTTATAAACCCTAAACCCTAACTCCTAAACCTTAAGCCAGACACCCTAAACTTTAGGGTTGAGAGTTTAAGGTTTAGGGTTAGGGGATGAGGGTTTAGGGTTTTAGGGATGAGGGTTCCAAACTTAGGGTCTAGGGCAGGGTTGAGGGTTTTGGGGCTTAGGTTTCTTTCAGGTTTTGAGTGTAGAGATGAGGGTTTAGAGGGTTTAGGGTTTAGGGTTTAGGCATTCAGTAATAGCTCCTGAATATGGAGGTAATAGGGCCTTCATATACCTTGTGGACCCATTACTGGGTGGTGGATTGACCCAAAATTTAGGGATAAGGATTCAGGGTTTCGGGCTTCTGAGGGTTTTGGCTTCGCGGACGAGGGTTTTGGGTTTAAAGGATTAAGGATGTAGCGTTTAGGGTTTGAAAAGTGATGGACAGTGAGAGCACTGGTGCTTTCACCGCCCGCCACAGCTGGTGGATCAGAATCAAGGAAAAAGAGCCATTGGTTGCGGCTATGCATGCAGCGGCCGTGGCAAAAACCATTGGCAAAATCGATGATATCCTTAGATTGGATGCCTTCTTGGCCTAGCAAGACATGTGCGCAAAGCACCTTGCTCTTGACTGCTCATACTCATCCTTGCAAGTGCAACACGGGCAGTGATGGCGCAGATGCGCACGTGGCAGAGACCTGATTGGGTACGTTTGTATACTGCTCCCTCCGTGTCGCCTTCATGTTGCCTTCCCTTAAGGTTCAAGTTTAGGTCCCTGATGCCTTGTTTGTCTTCCCCACAACGTCAGGGATGATTGCCCGACTTGACTTAGCACGGCGACATTCATCCTTACCTTGGCCCCGCTTGGATTCGTAATAGGTCCGATAGGGTTTCTAGTCGCTTCTCTCCACCGACGGGAATGGACGAGGATTGTACATGAACCCCCCAAGAGGATAGCTGGGTAGGCCCCTGAAATATTTAATGTTTTCCCTACTGGCTTTAATAAGGGACCCTGTGTATTAATATTGTTCAAAAGGGCTTTAGGGGCCAACCCAGATAGTGAAAGGATAGCTGCCGGGGCTGACGGCTTCTGAGCCGAAGCTTGCGCAGATCAAAAAGGGATAGAGAGGGTTCGAGATTAGGGTTTAGGGTTTTGGGTTTAGGGTCTAGAGTTTAGGGTTATACATCGGGAGTCAAATTTACAAGAACATGGACACTGGGTTCATCTAGGGTTGTATACGGTTTGTAGTGATGAAATTTAAATGCTTACCGATATTCTGGCCCAGATTCTTCGTACAGTTCTGGTAATTCAAGGGTACTTCGAATAGACCTCCCAAGATAATATTGGACATGATTTAGGCCCTACATTAGGGTTTCGGGTCGGGTGTTAAGGGTTGAGGGATGGGGGTTTGGGGTACAAGGGTTAAACCCCAAATTCTGAACCCTAAAACGGAGCCTCAGAGAGCCCACTTTCGAAAGGCAGTCTCTTTGTAGGCCCCATTTCAGGGTTCCATGTTAGTTTTTGGAAAGGTCACGGAATGAGTTGGGCCGCAGGGCTTACCTGTTAAATTCTGCATATTGCAGATCTTGATGGGGTTAGGGTTTTGAGCCGGGTGTCGGAAGGTGCAGTACATCTTTTCGGCGGGAATTTCAGGGTTTACGTCAAGGAGGGGAGGGTCTCACTTGCTTGGGCGAGCATCTATGCTACAAATGAATCATAGTCTAAACTTCTTGTCTCCACCTGTAATTTCCCCCATAATATCCCCCGCCCTATACAATCCTTATATAACCCTTTTTAAGGAGTTTAGCCTATCGCTCAAAAGCGGGGCTGGTCTTTGAGCACGTTGCGGGGTGTGGCTATGGCCAAACGGGTCTAGGGTTCAGGGATTAGGGTTTCCTAAGCCCTAAACCATCCTAAACCCGAGACCCTAAACCCGAAACCCTAAACCCTAAACCCGAAACCCTAAACCCGAAACCCAGGGAGTTCGCCGCGCACACCGAGACCACCGTGGCTCCTGGGCTCGCTGTGGGTAGCACTGCCGCTGCGGACGTCCCTTCCGAGACTGCCACCCTCGAGCCTGACGAGGAGGCCGCTGACTTTCCTCCGGAAGGGAGCCTTACGCCGGGCGAGTGGATCCGAAGGGTTTGGGGACCACCTACACCGCCCTCTCCGCTTTTTTCGCCCTCCATGCCTCCCGTGGACGTGGTGCCGGACGACATCGACAACCACAACGACAACGAGCAGCTCTCCCTGGTGCAGACGGCCCTCGTGACCCGTCAACCTGTGGAACGCTTCGGCCGAGTGCTCGCTCTTATTCAGGACTCCCTGGACAAGAGAGGAGATGATGCTGCGCTGTGTGCGCAGGAGCTGCTCAGACGAGTAGTGAACTTGCGCTTGTCTTCTGACGTTGCGCACACTGGTATCAGGGAGGAGCACTTTCGATCGTTGGAAGCACTCCTCACATCCTATGGAGCTACCCCACAATCTGTGACTATGGTGTCTGGCTCTAGCTCGTCGTCGATGGCTCCGTGCCCGGCCGTGCCACCTCCTGCTGCCGTCGCCTGGGCGGACGACCAACTCCCTGTCCTCACGATGTTCCTTCTGCACAGGACGTTTGGAGTTGATGATGGGTGCGAACCTGAATCTCAGTCAAGTGTGGAAATGATGGCGGCCTGTCAAGTCTGTGAGCGCGGGGAATGGAGGAAGGCGACCGATGCGGAGTGGAATGAGATCGCGCACCACGACCAGCTCATGTCGCAAGTGCAGTTAGAGGAGGACAGAAGGGATGCCGAGAGACTGCGGCAGCTACAGTCCCAACGGGAGGAGGAAGAGCGTCGTCGCCAACTGGAAGCGGCGGAAGCTCAAACCTGGGACCGCCGGACGGTGGTGCAGGAACTGGGCACCTGGCCTGTGAGGGCCACCAAAAAGATGAGAATGTCGTATACAGTTCGCCAGGACGATGGACAAATTGTTGGACGTGGGAGTTGCGACATCACTGCGGCGGCCGCTTCCAGGAGGGTCTC